TATACATATATTGGGGATATTGGAATTAATATCAAACGAAAATGGATTCTTTATCTTTAAATTTTTCGAATCTTTTCGTAAAGTTTTCTCCCAATGTTATCAAATGGTGGGAAATGATGTTTTTGAATAGCATGCAATCTATAGTATTTCTGTGTTGTTTTTGTTTAATTCTTCTTGCCAAAGTATCAGCTTATTCTTAAAAACTTCGATTTTACTGCACAGTGTAAAAATGTTTGTACTCTCACCCCCCTTCAAACTCATATTCAAATCGTTCAGTTTTTCGAAAATGTCAACCACGTAACTGAGTTTTCTGAGCCAATCTTCATTAATGAATGAATGTGCCAATATACGTTTCTTTTCTATCAAAACATTGTAAATCAAAAATACGTCGCAATATTTTGCCGCGAGATAGCCATCTGACTTCAGTATGTAGTAATAATGTCTTATACTCAGAACCCATCTCATTGCAGAGTATTGAAAAGAGACGACTGTTTAGGCTGGTGCCTTTAATGCAATTAATTACAATAACATCCTGTAATACTTTGTTCAATTCTTCATCGATGTCTTTCGCAACTAGAGCTTGTCTATGTATCATGCAATGGTTGAATATTAACTATATGAGGAGCAATTTTTATGATTAACTCTTTAAGTCCTTTCTTACTATCTGTAAATGCTGCAGCACCAATTTTGTGTTGATAACCAATACGAATACGTTATTAGTTATCAACCTCAACTGCACCCTGTATATTTTTGAACCAGATACTTTGCCAAAAATAGGGCACAGTTGTTTTTTTGTTGTATTATTTGCACCATCATGATTAATGATTTTGATTTCGGGTAATTGAGTTGTTGTCTTTACCGCTTCGATGATTTCAGAAAGGCAGTGCGACCCACAGCTACTTCCAAATGAGATGTTGTTGGGCTCATTCTAACCTCAAATCACAAACATATTCGAAACATTTTAACCACAATATCCATAATGGAGTCATTAGACGGGAGATATCAGACAGGCGACTTTATCGACGATCAGATAACGAAACCGACCGTCGTCGTGTCCACGCTCGACACGCCATTTTCTCGACGCCGAGGAAAAATTACGGTCCCACGTCAGTCGAATCTACGCGGTTGCGAAAAAGTTAGTTGAGACGGCTTTTTTACACAGATTATATATATTTTTTAAATAAAATTGTAATAAAATCAATTAGTAATTACAATAATTATACTCACGCAATGGTTTTAAACAACGGTTTTTTTTCAGTGGAAGTGAATAAATAATAAATAAATAAATAAAACCGAGAATGTAACAACACAATGCAAACTTCATTTAATATACCAATTTTACATTACGAAGATAAAAAAACAATATTAAATAAAGAGAACTGATCAACAATCTAGGTAGTTTCTCGCAAGAGATATTTTTTAAAATTAAATTAGAGACACTATATTATTGGCTAATCTGAGAATATTTATTAAGTAGTCTAACAGATGTATACGAGAGCTTTTAGTCATGGACTTCTTAATTTTAGATATTTCATCAATTGAAGCAGTTCCACGGAAATGAATGCGATTTCTACAAGCCAGTTTTTCCAACAAGTATGAGGCATACCGTTTTACATATTTTGTGAAGAAAACATAAATAAATAAATAAATACATCGAAACAGAAATTATGTACTCTTTGTAATTTATATTTTGACAGACAAAATTACAGGAATTTAGATGACTCAAAAGCAGTGTTTCACAGAGATTTCTATTTAATGTAAAGTTTAGAATATCTGCGCTTTTATAGATGTTGCGGAGATTAATATAAGCGTTTTGGAGAATTTTGGATACCTGTATATACTTCGACCAGAATTATAGTGCTCTTACAACCAACTCCATCATTAACTTTGGCTACTATTTATTACTCTAAAACCGCAGCCCCTTATAGAACACCTTGCCCAGCAGTATCTACCTATACTAACAAGCAGAATATAAGTATGTTTTCAATCTTTTTCGCCGAGCAATTCTTAAAACGTTTACATAAACAAATTAGTACGAAGTAACAATTTATTACGTTCTATGTCACTTATTTTTATTGCTGCCTCTACTTCCCCTTCTGACTTTCTTATAAATTTGTAAACATTCAAAAAAATGGATCCGTTTTTTTTATTTGCTGAGGTAGCTCGTCTACTTAGGTCTTCAAATTCTGCGTGGTTTTCTATGTCTTCTTCTAACAGGGCAACATCAGCTTCATTCAACGGTATCCACATTTTAAAGTGTTAAAAAACAGGAACTTTCATAAAATGTTTAATTGTAAGGGTCTAATAAATGTTTATCTGTATTCTTATGGTGTACCTTTATCTATCGCTATTATAATATATAGTCCATTTACGTTTCAAATAAAAATTTCAAGTTTCTACAAATATTCGTTACGGTCCATCTCGGGCAAGACCTAGTTAATGCAGAATAAACATCTGTAAAGGTACTTTAAAACGACCAAACAATAAATGCACTATATTTTTGGTCGTACAACACGAAATCTCAGTACTTTATGAGAGATGATTCTCAAGTTTTTAGATTCGTCAACAATGAACTATGACCTCGAAAAAATTAAGTTGTTACGAGCTCAGAACGAGTCGCTTAGGCCCTTGCGGTCACTCTCCTGTAGCGTGAAATCAAAACCCGTGGTACAACACAAATCGGGCGCCTCTGCGAGGTCGAAACGTCGCGTGCATGAAACGCACACAATGCGGGGGGTTTCCCCCTCGATCCGTCCCGCTAAAACAATAAATAATGCCGGGGTATAATTAACAAGCCATAATTTTGTTTATAAAGTCACAGAGATTGAATTAAGATTAATACGTTGCATTAAGTATAATAGAATCATAATATGGACGCCCCATTAGAATGCGATTTGTTATAATAGGTGCTGCGGGGTTCTTTTTTTCTGCCCGGAAATATACCGGTCGTCTCGTTTTAAATCGCTTTATTTCTACTTGTGAAAATTTTATATATTTTAAATTTGGCTATCCTATTCAGCCGTTGTAAAAAGAGGCATTTGAAGCCCGCAGTAGCCAACTGAACCAGTTGAATTCGCATTATTTTTTTTTAATATGTTTTAAGTAGATAGCATAAAGCGGTTCAATGTAAAATGAAACCTTAAAATTTAAATGGCGCTGCTTGCAGCTTTTATTTGTTAAATTTCTTATAAAACTGAGGTTATGCATTTATATTGTGACCTACATGATGGTTTCTTAAGGCTTTTTGATTTAACGTCATGATCTTCAATAGATAATTATTTGGGATTTATTATTAAAGGATTCATTGAATCAAATTTAGGTATTTTAAAAGAGGTGCGAGTGTATAAGGTGTACCATTTAGACAATTTTAAGGGGAAACTGCCCTTTCTAAAGGAAAAACAAAAATTAATGTAATTGTATGAAGCTCGATTTTCGTAAAAACCATAATGGTAAAAAAAACTTTTATGTTTCTGTGAAAACATTTGCCGAGAATTTTTTAAATCAGAATTTAATGGTTTAAATATAATACTAATATTTTATTAGCCATCAACCGAAAAATCGTTTTTTCATGGGACACCCTGTGTATTTTTGGATCATCGAAACTGTCTGGATCAAAATATAACGCACTTGGTATTTATAAAATTAAAAAAAATAAAACAAGATATTAATAAGGATAAAAAATGTATAACCTGATTTGTGAAACATTTTTTTGAGAACCGCTAAACCAAAAAAAAAATTATTGATTATTAAGAAACGTTTGATTATTGATTTTTAAGAGAGTTTTAGATTGGACATCAACTCTGCACAGATATCCTGGTGCTAGATGTAAGATTGTCCAGTTTTTCCAGAAAAAACTCCTTATCTTTAAACAGGATACTTCTAACCTCGTTATAAGGAGGACATCTAGACGGTATTTGGAATAGGGTATCATTTTCGTTAGTATTAGATACAGAGCAAAGTCCAGTATGGTTGAGTTTCTATGAAAAACGTGAATTTGAACGTGAAAAGTGGTTATTAGTTAGTTTAATACTCTAAGAGCTAGAACCTTTCTTGTGGGAAGTGGTAAATTAAAGCTAAGGTATTTTGGAAAAACGTTAGACAGGAAAATCCGAGTTCATAAGCATCTCACCTGCACAACCCAATCACATTTAATGTCCATAGCGTCCGCCAAGGGTAATTGGCGATTGATGCCTTGGGTGCCCATTTTAAGTAACTTGAACAGAAAATTTAGACACATTTTAAGTATAGTGACTTTTAAATAAGTTATTCCACACTCGCAGTCGCAAGATAGCACAACGGCATTTTCAATAATATCATAATAACGTAAACCACAGACAAGGAAAGGCGTACTCGGTTACACTTTTCTAGGAACCAAAAAAGATGCGCCATTGCACTTTGCTTGCACTGTGTGGCATTCGTGAGTTTTTTTTTAGTTCATCTAGTTAAGTCCTATTCGTGTATGTGGACGTCGTAATTTTTTTTTTAACTTATTCCTAAACTGATTGCTATTAAATAGGTTGTGTAGCAACCTCCCGAAAATGTCTTTAGGAGGTTGTTTTCTTTCAAGATAAAGGTAGTAAGACTTGCTGAATCCTTCTCGGCTTTCAAAAAACAAACTATAATATCCTATTGTCTTGACAACTAACAAAACTACCAGTACGCAGTCGTTTCTGGTATTATTCAAAATTATTGTTCAAAATTCTCTAGCAAAGTATATGTATTTATAAAAAAACCAGATTTTAGTTGATAAATAATTTTCATAGAAACACCTAGGAAACGGGACTCTATGTGCTGATTTTACCATCGCTGTGTTGCCAAACTAATCAATGTAATTTTTAATAAATGTGAATAGTTGGTAATTGTGGGCAACTTGTTTGCCGATGGTTTTGGGCGTCTCATGCATATGCTATTGCATAAACTCTATTTTATAATTGGATAGCTCAAAAGGGGGGAACATCCATGGAAACAACCAGCTGATTCGAATAAATATTTTATTTGACTTAACCTTATTGATATTAACATCAGAACGGGCCATTTTCGGAAACGGTTTCGCCGAACCCGATGACGTAACGCAACGTTTCGTTGTTACAGGTTCGCCATTCATCACAGACTCGTTGCTTATTGCCTCAAAAGATTCGCACGTCGTCGGATTTCGCGAGCCGTCTATTTTCTTTTATTTATTTCGATTTTTCGTACGGGCTTTATTGCGTATAAGGACGTGAAAATTTTTAACAACTAGCTTGGCCGGCCGAACCGGAACGTAGTACAGAATTTTCTACGGAATGGGCGGTTTTTACAGGTGGGCCTCTTATCTAACATATTTACATGAAAATAAATACAAATTATATATTAATTTCTATGGGGCAATCGTTCGAACCCGTCAGTCTCCAAAAACTAGGTCAAAATTGATCTTGGAGGGTCCCTCCCGTATTAAAAGCAACGTAAAAATTGTTCCTGCAGGCAAATTATTTCTTTTGCGTCACTTTTTCTATATGAATGAAATCTGATTAAAACCGCAATTAATAAAAAAATAAAATATTCCGTATCACAGATCTTTCTGAGAAACAGTACAGAATTTTGCATAATAAATATTTCTTGTAATAAAAAACACAAGTCATAGGATATAAACTGAAAGCAAACAACACTCTTTTAGTAAAAATAAGTTAAGTAAAACAATAAATTTGAAAGCAATGTTGTCTATTTCTTCAAGAATTCTTTAAAAAAATATTAAAATTGTTTTTCAAATTACGTCATTTTATTTATAAATTCTAAAATGACAATTTACCATTCATTCCCTGAAGAGGTTTTGCGGACTATGTACACGGCACTCTGGTACAACTTTATGGCAATTGACAGAAACAGAAGAATAGAAAAATATACCGTAAACAATTTTTAGTGGAACAATTACTCGATTTTGAGGTTATGGAGGCTATCCGATTTCGATCGACCGCCCTGCGTCTCGAAGAAAACGTGGATATGTGTACACGTATCTACACTATATTACAATGTGTCGTATCACAAATAAATTACACTTTTTTTTACACGAATTTCCCGCGGATATGGCTTGCCGCAATTCTCTGTTCGATACTAAAAAAAAACAAACGAAACATTCACATAAACAACTTCCTCAGTACGGATTAATAAATACGGATCTCTTATTGCACGTAAATTCTCTCGATGCGTCCCCGTACAAGCCTACTCGCGTACGAGGCACGATCACTGAAAAACGGACGGTTCGCGTCACAGAAACTTCAAGTGTTCAGTAACGATTCTATGCTGAAAGGGTTCGGTCTCTGACGGCTTTTGTCTTCGTGCTCGTGCGAGCTAGACGACAGATCCATGCCTCCGTTTTCCGTCACGGGCGACGCGAACATCGAATTCTCGCCGAACGATTCCGATTCCGCGCCCGAGTCTCCCACCACGTCAATGTCACTGTCACTGTCCACGCCCTCTGTCCCTCGTTGAGCCAAGTATTCCCGTTTCAACGCCACGAGGTCCACGGCTATGCCTGGAACAAGAAGACGAGTTGCAACTAGAAGAAATAATAAGAAATTTCGTGTAATCTATCCAGCTGAATGTCAAGCTCAATGTCAAATATGAACATTTGCAAAATAAAGATTCTACCAATAGCAGGCAAGCAATGCAAGACGAAATAACAAGGAGTGTCATACAGGTATAGAAGATCCAACAGTTAGACAAAAAGTGGATTAAAACGATGAACCTAGATGAGAGGAGAGATCTACGAGATATGAATTAGATGAAGACTTACAAAGCGAACTATTCAACACAAAGAAGGTTGGTTGAGAGATGGTCGTTTATTTCACTGTCAAATTACCTTTGGCTCGCAGCTTCCTCGCTTGTCTTTCGAGGGCCTTCTGCAGTTTTTTCCTTCGCCTTGCCCTCTCTCTAGCCCTCAGCTCAGCCGGTGGGATCGGCTCGCCTGAACAGGATTGAGGATGGGCATTGTGCGCTGGTCGCCCCGGTCCCTTTTTCGTGTGTTCCTTCTTACGCCACTTTGCTCGCCGATTTTGGAACCATACCTGCAAAGTGAGAAAATCCACCCTTAGTCCCAGCCTGTAATATAGAAGCGAGTGCATTTAGGAGACTAAATTCAGGTTTATAATTTTCTGGTAATCCCAAATATAAATGCTGTACGATAAAAAAGCAAGGCATATGATACAAAGCCTTGCCTCATGTGAAGGGCACCACTTGACGTAGATGTCAGAACTTTCTTTTATCGAAAAGCTTTCTACGGAAAAGTTGTTATTTTGGACGCAGCGGAATCAGTCGTAGTTATACAGGGCATCTCGCAAATTTACGACACTGTACTTGATATCTTTTAGGTTAGGTATACGCTATGTTTATGGGCTCCAAATCATTGACATAAATTACTTACGACTGATAGCCTTTATAAATTTTCTCGGTATTTTCATTGGACGTCACAACGTGTTTAAGGAGTTGTTGATTTAAGTAAACGAAAACAGTTTAAACTTTATAAAAATAGAAAACAATTTATAGATTACACGCCTAGTTAGTAATAGTTTTGTTTATTTAATCGGATTAAATTAGTCTATAATTTTGTTTTGACTCCACTGTTGTGAGAAAAAACGGGATATGCGCAAATGGATATTTTGAAACTTTAAATAAATGATAAATTTAACTGTAAAACGTACAAGAAAAGTTCACTAAGTTTAATTTGATTTAACTGTCAAACTTGTAACAATATAATGTGGAATGGGTGGTCTAAAGTCATCGTATCTTCCATATTATGATCTACGTTCTTCTATCAACTAAAATTTATTTTATGCACAAACTACTAACAATGTATGATAAAAATGTATATCACATATTTAAGTTCCCGGGCACTACACGATCCATTCTCCTTACTCTGACTACACCCTTCTCGATTGGTGTCTAATATTCGGGTCGACTCTCGATTTTTTTTTTTTTTTTGGTCGCAGTCAGGGCCGAACCCTGTTTGTGTTTAAACGGGAGGCCAATACAACCGTGACTCTAAACCTTAATTTAAACTGTTGTTATAGGCGGTTTTGGATCGTGAATCGACCGCCTCGTATATCGCCGGATTATAGCAGCGTAGCGGGGTAGGGAAAATCCAGATCCCTATTAAACTTTTCCGGGAAAAGGCCGTCGAACAAGAGGGAAAACTTCGACGGGCCATCAATTTAAAAACAATAGACGTATCGACAGGGGACCGTGGGGTTGATTTCAGTCAATATTGCGGAAGTTAGCGGCGTATCAGAGGCCGATCTGGCGGTCTGGCCAATCGATCCTGAGGGACCAAGCGTCCTTTCCCTCCGTTCTCTCTTTTAGCCTACCCGTTTGACCCCCAAACCGAAACCCGCCCCCGGCGTACCTTTCCGGGAAAGTAACCTTTTTTCCGGGAGTTTCCGCGCGTGGCGGGCAACTAACCAACCTAAAATGTGATATCAAATCGATAGAGATTTTGAGGTGACGAAAATACCACCGGAAAGCTGTACTTTGCTATAGCGGGTGTCACAAAAAAATAGATTAATCCGTTGACCGTCTTTTGCATGAGATTTTCCATTTGAGTTGACTTTGCATATGCAAATGCATATTTATTTATATCTCGGGTCATATATGGCATTCTTATCTTTACGTGCAGCATGATTTTATGCAAAAATATCAAAGTAATAATAAATAAAAAAATAGGGGAGTGGTCATAAATTTTATCTGAGGACCGTCTATGGACTTTTTTGTAGCTGGATTGTAGTTGGTTTGTTTGACGCTTTCGTTTATTGCCTTGATTTTGATGCAAAGCTTCTTTTACGAGATATTTTTACTTATGTATATTGAAAATTAGGCGTCGTGATGAAAGTGACATAAGGAAAGTGCTATTATTTTAGCCAAAAGAGGTTAGTTTAGTTTCTCTAGTTTTTTGTACGTAAAACGAAAGCTATTGAGGCGAATTCGATTCTGTGAAGAGGTGAATTGCAAAGAATTCAAGCACGAACACGATGAGTACTGGTACGACTTGATCGGATAATTAGGAAGCGAGGAATGTCGGAAAATTCAGCGGAAATTTACAAGTTTCCGTATAAAACTATTTAGATTATTTTGTTGTTTCAATAGAGCAGGGTATTAGTGAATTCATAAATTTGTAAAAACAAGAATGATGAAGACGTCTAGCTAGAAACGCATAGCGCTAAAAGAAAACACATTTAAATAAACTGATAAAAAATTGGAAAATAAAACAGCATATTATGTTAACTAATAAAACAACAAATTGTTACCATTAGTACAAAATTAACCAATATCTCTCAAAACAGGTGATACTCATACATACGCAAATAAAGAATTGCTACTCGATTTTGGTGGAAAATTTGAAACAAATATATACCAAACGACCTTGGATGCATTCTGGATGGGTTGAATGGATAAGAAAAAGACCTGATGACGTATTTTAGACAAATTTGTTCAACCAAAACCCTATCCCCAAAAGGGACAGTTTTTGTTTCACTATTACAACATTAAACCAAACCAAAAATAAGTCAAGCATCAAGTTAACTAACAGTAAAACGGACAATCAAAAAGTTTTGGTTACTTTTATGTTTCGATATTTTGAGTTTTCGTTGCCAATCGCCAAATTATTTTTCCAGGATATCCGAGTCGCCAAATTTGAAATTGCAAAAGAGATATCGAAAACTGTAATTATCATAAGTAGTGACAGAAATTTCGACGTGTGCAAAGAATGCCCCTGTATTGGAAACCCTGTAAAAATTTTCTTCTGTATTGACCTGCGCGTCGATATAGAATGTCAAAACTGTGAACGATTTATCGACTCTCCATCCCCGACGGTACTTTACATTATATCAATTAAAATTGTTAATTAGATGCGGTCGGAACAAATAATCATTATTCTCGGGCGATTTATGGCTTTAACGACCGGCAAGCAATTCACTAGAATTAATATAAACGATTGAGAGGTAATAATTAGGATCGTATACCGCAGGACTAATTAATAGCGAGCTTTGCCTCCAACTCTGGTCTATTTTAACAAAAAGCCGCTCGCCGTGGAGTCCGGATTTGTGGCTCCGAAACATTTTTCTGTCAATCCGTCACATGGTATGATGCGCAGAAATTAGCAGCCAAACAAATGAGTATTAGCGAAATTGTGATTGTATTAATAATTTTCGCTTTGATTTGTTCTTTCTAGTGGAAAACAATCTATTTATTTTTTTATTATAAAAATTTATCAAAGTTTACCGCACGCCTCTATAAAAAAGAGCATCGATGAGATATATTTTTCAATTTTTTTGTAACTCTTAAATAAGGGGAGTTCAATTCAAAAATGTCTATTTCCGTTATCGGATTGTTTACTAAGCTCCAAGTGTGTGTATCGCCATTTTTTTCTATTGTAAAATTTTGTTTTTTTTATTTTTTGTAGCCATACCCTAAAACTCCGCCATTTTTAGACCGGTCTCGACGCTTTCGAACTGCGCTACCGATCGTAATTTTTGAGCGACGGTAACGTCAATGAAACATTAAACCACAGACTGCTGAACTATGCAGAAGCGAAACATCGGCGTCGAAGGATGTATTATACGTTTATAACCAATTTTTCATTTATTTCTGCTATAAACAAGAGTTTTTTAATACTACTATGGCCCTTTTCAGCTGTCCTAGAATCTTGTCAGTTTCTGTTTTTTAGATAAAATGCTTGCGGAAAAGTTCCAATTCTCAAAATTCAGTTTTGTTTAGTGACTGCACTACTAAATATCATAGATGATATACGAGGTTAGAGCCAATATATCCCGGCCTGACATAGATGCAGCTCCAGTATCACGATAAAACTTTAGCACCTAAAATTATTAAAGAAAGGCTGAATGGTGTGTACGGCCAAAGTTCTCCTTCGTATTCTGTAGTGAAAGAATAGGCAAAACATTTTCGAGTGGGGCAGGAGTCCCTTGAAGATGATTCAAGAAGTGGTCGACCAGTGGAGGTCATAACGGAAGATATTGTTGCTATTGTGGAAGAGGTGGTATTGAGTGATCGACGTTTAAAAGTCAAGGAAATCTCAGAAATTACTAAGCTTTCTGATACAAGTATTCGTCGAATCCTGCATGATCATTTAGGTATGCATAAGGTTAGTGCACGATGGGTTCCTAAAAACCTTTCGGCTATTCAAAAACAACGCCGTGCCGAGTGTGCGTGGTCTTTTTTGGAACTCTGTGGATCGGAACCGAAGTCTGTGATAGAATCTATTGTGATGGGAGATGAAACTATGGTTCGCTATTATGACCCTCTATCGAAAAAAGAATCAATGGAGCGGCGTCGTAAGGGTGAAGCACTTCCAAGAAAATTCAGAGTCAGTCAGTCAACAAAAAAGGTGATGGCCACGATCTTTTGGGATTGTGAAGGAATACTTTTGATAGATTTTAAAGAAACTAATACCACTGTTAATGGTAAATATTACCCAACATGATTACATAAACTGCGAGACTGCATAGATGTAAAACGTCGAGGAAAACTGACCAGAGGTGTACGTCTTTTGCACGATAATGCACCTGTCCATTCTGCTGGTGTTGTAAAAGAGATGTAATAAGTGTATTGAAAAATAATGAAAAATGGTTACTCTACTTTGTTTCTTTCATATTCAGGCCGGGAAATTTTGGCGCTGCCCTCGCAATTAGAGCTGCTGATGCAGGTCAAGCGACGGCCCTAACACTCCCGTTACATCCAAAGAGACATTTTTTGTCAAAGTCATTAAAAACAAGGTTGACTGATTCGTTTGTTTTAAATCACTTTAATATTTGTAATACTGGATATGGCCCATGTACGGATTTGTGTGACATCAACAGAATACAAAGGGTCCCAAAGCCGTGTTTGCGATTTATTTATGGCATACGTGCCAGGAGTCCAGTTTCATATAAACTTAAAGAAACAAGGTTGTCGGCAATGGAAAGTAGGCGTAAATTACATTAAGTTACTCTGTTTCATAATATAATATTGAAGAAGTCTCAATTCCTTTATAATAAAATTAGCTTTCGTACTGACGTGC